CAAAAATAACCGTTGGGATTTGGAGATTGAAGCGTATAATAATCGTGGACAAGAGAAAAAGATAGTGTCAGATTGTGGTCTGCTGAAACAACGAAATTCACTGATTAAAAATTCAAAGAAAAACTGGATAAATATCTGGACCTTGTCGAAGCATTGAGAACATATCAAAAAGTCTGAAGAAAATGGATATCCGAAGAAAGATCGAAAATCTAAACCATCGATTTACTGAAATCAGCTAGAATACTGTGAAAGGTGCTGGAATACTGACATTTGCCGTCAATAACCAGCGTAATTCATCACTTGCGACTTCAGTTGCCAAAATGGGTTGCTAAAGATTTTGAAGATTTGTCATTACTTTTAAAAAGTGCCCTAAATAGAGAAATTCAAAATTTAGTAGCATTGGACTTTTAACCCTAGAACACTAACCATCAATTAATGTTACACCACTACTAACCATGGGTATATCATACCCAATTTTGAAAATATCAAAAAAAATATTAAATATAAATCTTTATTTGAAATGTTTTACATGCAGGCACTTCAAACTTTGTACTTTGAATTAACATTAATAGGAATTGAAAAACATTATTTAGGTAAGAAAATCAGGTAGTGAAAATTGTAATTAAAAATAGGGAAATTTGCACTGGGTACTATATACGCATGGTTAGTGTTCTAGGTTTAATCGTAGTCCATTGTGGCAACACTGAGTGTAGTTATAATATTTATTATGTAATAAAGTAGATTAAAAAAAAACAAAAAAAACACGAACCGATCATTCGTTGTCTCGTGAAATGAGAGTTATCTTGAACGGCCACTCTTCTAGATCCTTCTGTATTGAAGCAGGTGTCCCCCAGTACTATCATTGGTTATACTTTGTTTTTAATTTTCATTAACGACCTTCTTAATGACATCAGCTCTCAACTTAGTATCTATGCTGATGATAACCATTTACTCCTGTCTCAATACTGAGTCTGATCAGTTCGATAAAGTAAAAAACGACCTACAGTGTTGTTAACTGAGACAAAGAATGGCTTGTTAATTTTAACGACTCTAAAACTAAACTGCTCTCTGTTAATCATCTTTGAGAACCCGTTCTGCCTTCAATCAGCATGGCAGATACTAACCTCCAAGAGAGTAACTCGTTGCGCTGACATCAAGTGGAAAGACTACACTGAATTCATTGCTAGGTCTGCTGCTAAAAAAATTGGTTCACTGTGTCGTGCGAAACAATTTTCCTCTCCAGAATCTATTTTACATAGATATCAGTCTACTATTCTCCCATGCTTTTATAATATTTCTGGCACATTTAGTCCGGTGATGTTGCTATTTGGAGATTCTTGATAAAATCCAAAAGCGAATCAGAAATATTATTAGTTCTAACCTGGCGTCTCGGCGTCAGTCACTTTCCCGTGCTTTTTCTACAAATACTATGGCACCTAGGCATTATGAATGTAAGTGGAGATTTGCAACACAGAAGGGGAAAGAAAGAAAAAGAGAGAAAAAAGAAAAAGAGAGCGAAAGAGAGAGAAAGAGAGAGAAATCGGTGTGGAAGGAAGGAAGAAACGAAAAAAATGGAAGGAAAGAATGCATAAAATACTATTCATTTGTAGAGGCAAAAATAAATACCGATTTTTTTTTTTTGCGTTGTCAACTGATAAAAAGGTAACCAATTCAGAGTTAACAATATCAGAGTTGTCTACCTTTAAATATAATTTTTCGATAACAGTAATTTTAAATATTTTTATAAATCTCCGGACAATGACCAATTGATTTCTACTTTTAATTTTAAAAATCTTAATAGACTAAAAAAGTTAGAATATTTACAGGAATATATTGTCAATATCGACGAATGACAGTTCTGCCAGGAACATGTATTTTTAACCCTTTGACAAAGAAATATATATATAGCGTAACTTACAAAAAAAAAAAAAAAAAAAAAACATGAAAAACAAATAAGAATATTGCTGCGTGTTTCATCGTCATTAAAACCTTTCTTTAATCTTCTTGATGTGGCTAAATCAACTGTTCGTTTTAACTCCTAAACCCCACGCCACTATAAAACAACTTAAAATTCTGTTCCATGATTTTTTTTTTCCTTTCAGGTATAGAAATGCCATTCGCTGGAAAAGAATGGGTTAGAGTATGCTCAGAGTCGAACAAGACTGTGCAGCGCGCATTTGTGAGAGAACTCTCTAAAACTGAACCCTACTGCAATGCAGATTTGGACATGGCACAAAAAGTTCAAAGAGGTCGGCTGTCTATGCAGGGCAAAGAGAATCTGGACTTCTAATGGTATCGGCAGAAATGGTGGAGCGCGTTCGCGAAATATTTTTGCGAATTTCAGAAGAGTTAGTTTGGAAAACCCAGATTCTTCTAATGAAAATTTGGCGTCTCGACAAGGTTCGAACCAGCACCCGACTTTGTTGAAGAAACAACCGTTTCATCACGTCTTCTTCAGAACAGTGGTAACCCATTGGTAGTCCGTAAAATTTTTTTAGTATTATTTCAATTTCTATGAAGCTTCAGATTAAAAAAATGACGAGTAACAAAACGTATTATTTTCATTGTCATATTCAATGAAGATGAGGATAACAGTCCGAATAATGCATGTATCTTTTGAGAGAGATAGACAGATATTAATTTTACTGGATATCCATATATGAAATGGACGCCCCATTTTTTTTAAACACTGTGTGACATCTATCTACCTGCGCACTCGATAAAATTTTAATAAAGAATGTGAGTTCTCTAACATTTGGAGTGTACATGTAGTAATTAAACGGTAGGATGCAATAAATTTGTAACTTTTTATTTATTTATTTATCAAAATCAAAAATTTTCCTTTAGCCAGGTTCGAAACATGACAATAGGGATTGTCATTAAATGTTTCTCGCTTCAAACTTGGTTGAAGGAAATATACAATTTTATGGCATTTTTTATTAGAGTTATATATTTTGAGAAATTTAACGATTATTCTGTAGTAGGATTAGGTAGTAGTAACACCATATGGAAATATACATTTAGATTTTCACTAAGAGAGTGACAAAGAAAACTCTCTCTCTTAATTACACATACTTCCTTTCCTCCCTTCCATTGTATCCTCGGTAACTGACAGAACCTGGGCATAGTTTATGTGGGTCAGTGAACGTCATTAAAAAAAAAAAAAAAATTTTTTTTTAAATCAACCAATGATACGTCCGACCAAAAATCCAACGGAAAACACGGATGTGCCAGTCCCAATAAAAAAAAAAAAATACATGCTCGGTACAATAAGTGGGAGATGTGGTTCGATGTATCAGTTTAAGACGCAAGGGTTGAAGATTCGTCGGATATGAGTTTGACAGGACGTACAAACTCATATCCGACGAATGTTTTAGCCCAATCTTCGTTTCTATATATCATAATTCTCAGACAGATCGAATAGCCAGGTACGGTGAAACTTTAGTAGCTGATATATGAATTTGAGCCATTTTTAACACACACACATATATATATATATATATATATATATATATAAAAATATGATTCAATACATATTTATATATTTTTGTATGATTCACTATTTTTTTTAAATAATAACAAAATACTAAAGAACTATATTTTTAAAAACCTAACGAATTCTTTCCTATTTTGGATTATTTTTCCTAACACAGTTATTATATTATATTATATATATTTTATATATATATATATATATATATATATATATATATATATATATATATATATATATACACACACACAATAGTTTACCTTACACTGTAAAATTTATATATTAACATGTTCCTTAATTTGCATAATTGTAGATATTGTGGCTGGTCTACGCTACTATTATCATTTGTTGGTCTTTATATATAAAAGTTGCATAATGCGTATAACCATGGCTTCCCTTTCTTTTCTACAAATATTTTCATGACAGCTGCTCTGAAGAGCTTTTTTTCCCCGTGTGCACAGGCTACATGAATTTAAGTGTAGCTACTAGTTTGACATCTAGGTCCCACCATTTTACTGTTGAATTAGGTAAATGTAACTGCCACTTCTACTCCAGCAGTTTCTTTCCTCGCCCTTCCCGCCTGTAAAACACACGTTTCCTTGCTTCCTGATAACTACGATCTTCAAAAATTTAAATTCCACGTTAATCGCCATCTTTTTTTTTTTTTGAACATCCTTTCCTCAGTCTCACGTATACCCACTGTTTTCTCTCACTTTCACTATCTTTAATCCACTGCGTACCAGTAGCATTCCCGCCTTGCTTGGAGGTAAATGATTAAAACAAAACATTATTTTGAGTATTAGGGATAGTGCTTATAATTATGGAGCTGGGTTTTTTTTAAGCTCAAATGTTCATTCATCAGTTCTCTTCCCTCACAATCATTGTGGCATGTCAGTGATATTTTTCTGGCAATGGATTTATGCATTTTCCCAAGGCCATTAGTATCAAGAAGGAAAACTGAACTGTTTGTAGTCGATATTTTCCATGATAATAACCGTTGCCCCAATACGTACGGTCATATATAAAAAAGAAAAAAAAAGGCAAAAATAAGAACGATAAAAAGAAACCCACACCATTTTAAAATACAAGCTGTTCAATGACCTTGTGATCTTCCAGTAAGAAAACCCAACTTAGTTAGAATTCAATCCTAAAAACGTAAACATTTCTCTTTCCTTTTCCTCTTCACTTCCACTCAGTGGATTAATTATTAGGGGTGGGGGTTCTGGTTTTCATTTTCCGAACTGGCAGAAAATGCCTTCATAGTGCAAAACTAAATAAAGTTGAAGTTTTTGTAGCTCTGACGTTTTGAATATGGACACTCTCACTCTCTCTCTAAATGGGAAAAGAAAAAGAGATGAGAGAAGAAAAGAGAGCAAAAGGAGAAGAGCAGAAAGCAGAAGAGGTTTATCTATTGATTCCCATTTAGGATTGACTTTCCTCTTCCTTCTAAAGTCTTAATTCTCTATCAGTCAAGGTTGTCCACTGCGTCTTAGTGGCATGAATTGCTTTAGCTGAATTGAACAGAAAGGAAAAAGAGTGAGAAAAAGGGAAAGAGTGAGAAAAAGGAAAAGAGTGAGAAAAAGGAAAAGAGTGAGAAAAAGGAAAAGAGTGAGAAAAAGGAAAAGAGTGAGAAAAAGGAAAAGAGTGAGAAAAAGGAAAAGAAAAAAATCAGAGAGAGAGAAGAGAAGAAGAGAGATGAAAACAAAAAGAAAAACTTTATTTTCAATAAAATAAGATAGATTGTAGTTTTATGCTAAGAAAAAGAAGTCGAGTTGTACGAGCTGACTACGTTGCTATTGTACATTTTTGTGCAGATCTAGAAAGCTACCTGATTCAAGTTATTCTCAAGTCTTTGATAGAGTACACAAGAGATGACGATGACATTTAGTCAGCTAGTTGCGGACTTCTCAGCATAGAGTACTCAACAAGCCACTTATAACAGAGCCTACTTAGCTCCAGCATAATCACCAGAGATACCTAATTTGCATATTTCCGCGTTTAGGTTTATAAAAAGCTATCAATAAAAAACACACATTTCTGGGAAATGTGTATACTATTCAGTCATATGTTCTCTTAAGTTTTATTCATGCTTTTATGGACTTAAACACATGTTTGAGAATTGCTTCGATTAACTTCATGTTACGAATGCTAAACTGAACGTAACTGGAGAGCACTAAACAAATGTTTAGTTACTATTTTTGTCTCTTCTAACAAATTAAGTGCAGCGGAAAAAGACAGCAAGAGTTGCGCCCCTTACCGACAAATCTAATATTGTTGCTAATTTTAAGCTTGCACTTCTGCTCGAATATTCTGTGTGACCAGCTAAGAACTTAAAGCACTCATGATCGATACACGTGCTCAATAAAATCTAACAGCAGCTCAGTTTGTAACCAAAAGGATAATTATATATGAAGATAATCCCCGACCGTGTAAAATCGATTCGCATTTTCCCGCAGTATTAGCAAATCCGCAAATTTCAATATTGCTAGTTGCAATATAAAACTATTTTTTCAGCATCAATACTGGTGTCTCAAAAAACTATACACACGAGGAATACAAAAACATTTTCAGATCCACCCACTTCATTGAAATCAGAATTTCAATGACCAAATATTTTTTAATTGTTAAAAAAAACTTCAGAAAGGCTATACCAAGTTCATTGAACTCCCAGCCAGGCGAATAAGGTGTACAGTTTTTATGGCACTGAGGTCATTCTTCTTGGTCGGGCTGAAAAGCTTTCAACATCTCTTCATAACGTCCTAAAATGGAACTTTCAAGACATTAATTAAAATATATCTGAAAGACAAATTTAATTTAACATTTAAAACTCCTTTCCCGTCATAAACAAAGAATAAAAAACACACATAATGTTTAAAACACTTTTAAAATCATTTACATACTTGTATTTTGGTTTAATCGGAGATTTTGGTTCATAGTTCGGTGAGCTTCCAGAACAAATAAAAATTTTAAATGTTATTCTCCACATTTACAAAAATTCAAGGGAGATAACTATCAAGTAATTCGAATATTCAATACTTCGAAATCTGATGCACTTTTTTGCTAACTTCGATTTTCAAGACCCGTTTACTCTCTAATTGTCATAAAATCATTTTTTAGAATCTACCGTCAGTTCAGTTTTATATACTAAACTATCTTATTACATGCACACATTGGAAAGTTTCCGCACTCCTCCCAATTTTAGGGGTCTCGAGCGAAATTCAATATAAAAAAAAATAAAACTTCAGAATCCTATTAGATGGCAATGCCATTAATACCAGTGTCTTCTTGACTGCAAAGTAAGGATCTGGTCCATAAAATCCTTTAAAAAATGAGACACTAGAGGGCTGGTGCGTACTACACCCCTCCCACGTTCGGAGGCAGGGGGCAGGGCAAGATAAGCATTATTAGGGGCCCCCGAGCAAATTCTTTGTTACCTTCGCTTTCTTAGCAATATTTGCCTTTATCTACCTACATTTATAATATACGTTAGAATTTAAGCTAAGCACAACTGACTATTAAAGAATGAAAACTTTTCGTATTTTGAGGTTATTCTTTCGTCCAAATCTAAATTTGTTTTGCTCATGCTAAGTCTAGAAGAAAAAAAGAAAAAAAAAGAAAAAGAAACGACTATAAAGTTCACTATTTTTATCCATAATGTTGGAATGTGTTATAATTATTCAACTTTAAGAAAAATTTCAAGTTGATTTTAAAAATTGCCACTAAACATTGATTTATTTAATATAAATTATCTATTATGTCATGTCTCTAATTTGTATTTAAGATACATTGTATTTATTCTCAGTTTTTCTAGTTGAATTGTTCACCTATATTGCATATGGTCCATTGTAGATAACTAAATTATAATAAAATTTGTATTTTATATGAATACTACCTTCTGACAATTGAGATATAGTAGAGTTGGGGGTGCGTATCACAGATTCGGTGGGGGCACTAGACGTTGCATTACCCAGACTATGATTCTAACGTCAAATATGAACACGGCCATAACGTGCTGACCGTGTTTGGAAAATAAAACATTCACATCACTCTAGAAACACAGAAAAAATTTACACATTCAGTTAAAAAATTTAACTACTTCATAATATCTAAGAGAATAGCCGAAAGCGCTCAGATATACAGAACATTTGGACAATGTTTTTACACACTTTATATCCAGAAAAGAAAACACAAGAAAAAGTAAATAAAAGTAAATATATATATATATATATATATATAAAAAAGACATTTTATGCTTATGTATTCTTTTTATAGATACAAATATTTAAGTAAATGCTCTGTTTATAATAAACAGTATTAAACAACATTTACAGGCCTGAATGCCCGAGAAATCTTCATAGAAAATATTCGTCCTCCGACAGGATTCGAACATTATGTATAAACATAAAATGTCAAAATAACTGTCAGATTTGTCCATTTCATAATTTTTGTGTGTATATATATATATATATATATGAGAGAGAGATTCAAACAATGATAAAGCAATTTTCTGAAATGAAATACTGTTAGGTTTTCCACTTGAAAAGCCAAATCTTTGCGTCTTGGGAGGGAAGCTTTTAGAGCCCTCAAATATTAAGATGACCTTGGTAATATATATTAATTTACACATTAACCAACAAATAAAAGACCCTTCAGTCGTGACATTGAGGTTAAACCTTCAGATGCTAGATTTACTGAAAACGTAAAACATTCAATGTACATTAGCTTGGATGATCTAATTTTTTTCCTTTTTTAATTATTTAATGACAAAGGAAAGTTCTTGCACTGGATATATAACAGTTTTCAATCGCAAGTTTCGATATTAAGTTATCCATTTACATCTGAATGTGAAAATTGGTATATAAATATATCTATAATATTTTTCATCACTTTTGTGTTTTTTTGTTTTATGGCTTAAGATTATTTTCATGAGCTTTCTTTTTCACTATGTTAATTTTAAATAAATAGTCTTACAATAAATATATTGTGACTATAATTGTGGCCAGTATCCTGTTTAATTTCAAGAACTAGTATAAAGTGTAACGAACAAAAAAAAAAAAAGTTATAAAAACTTATTTGTTATTCGAGATGCCAAAGTACATATCATTAAAAGATATCACTATCAGCATCATGACTGGTTACATTTTACTATCGAATCAATATTCACTTGCGGACTTTATTTTCCCTACAAAACTGTTCATATATACACATAGAGCGACGTTGCATGGTTGCTTCATTAAACGTTGATATAATTTCGGTCAAGTAGTATTATTCTTAATGCTCACTAGTGTGAGTGAGTGAGTGTGTGAAAAAGTAAGATGAGCAAGATATTGCAGTAGTCACCTACACTTCCTTTCTCTCACTGTCAGCATGAGGAGGGAGGTTGGTATTCACCAACTTTACAAACACTCATGGAACGCCAGATTACTCGTGTAAAAAAAAAAAAAAAAAAAAGTATCTTTGGTTATAGAAAACAAAAGTTCCTCAAAGTAAAAGAAGAGGTCAAAGTTAGCCGGCTGACGAAACTGCTTTTCGAACAAATCTATAAGATCCCAGAAGGAGTACGTAAGAAATGACAAGCCTAAGAAGAATCAGCAAGCACGGACTTCTTCGTATCTACTATTTGGAAAGTACTTTATATAGTCAGTCAGCTCACGTAAAACTAAGAGTGGAGTCATCTTATTTGCATATAACTAAATATTTTGTAGCGACTGAAAAATATCTTTACTACAGAATCAAGTTTTAATTCTTGTCTTTAATACAAAAATATATAAACTTACTTTTAAAATAAGTAAAACTTTCTTTTACCCAGAAATAAAAAGTTATAAGTAATTTTTTTAAAGTATTACATTATTTATGCCTGCGCGCGCATAACCGGAAATTATATTGACAGTAAGTTTACGAACGTAAGTAAATAGGACTAAAAATCCATTTTTAATGATATTTTATTACACGGAATTCAATAAATTAAGATACAACATACAGTTACGCTTTTTTTACTCATTTATTGATATTTTTAAATTTATCAATCATATTAGGTAAATTTTCGAAATTTTGTTAGACTTTTACAGTTTTACTTTTATATTTTTTTTTTCGTTGATATTGCAGACAAAAAGTATGAGACAGAATAATGACTGACCTATAATAGTTATTGCATTTAGCGTATTAATTGTATATGTAAATGTATTATTATGAGAGTAAGGTGATTTATTTTAACTCACCTATATATGAAAAAGGATTGTTTTATGACTACTTGATACGTTTTAAATACATATTCTGTTTCTCTTTCTCACTCAAACACACACAGCGAAAGAGTATTTAAAACGATTAGTAAATTAGTCATGTACGTTATCACTAGAGACGAGAGTTCGATCTTTAGTGTCAATCCCTGCACTGGCGTCAAAACGTGCCTGCCCACATATAAACATGTATATATAATTATAAATTTGCTATGTATATGAAAAAAATGTTCATTAGCGGAAATAGGACATGTGAAGATATAGACAATGTGGGCAAAAAAAATGTAATCATGCATGGCGACTGAAGATCGCTTGAAATATTAAACTGACAGTTACTATGTAGTATTGATTCTTATGTCCACACTATTTATAGTCACAAACATATTTACATATATACATATATATATATATATATATATATATATATATATATATATATATATATAGTTGGATAGATGTTAGTTTGTGACCCTTAGTTTCACGCTTTAGCGATCTGACGATCGCTAAAGCGTGAAAC